CAGTTGGATCTCCTTCAGGACCTGCAGAAGCTCTGGCCCCACACCGCTCTGCAGCAGATCGTAGTTCTCAGCTGGGTCAGACTCCAGGTCAAACAGCAGTGGGGGCAGGTGGGGTGTCAGCGGGGTGAGCCCATGGCAGGCCTCATCTGGGGTTGTATCACTGTGCAAGGAACCTGCAAAAGAATCCCCTGGAGCAGCTCAGTTTCTTCTCTTGGAGCTTTGGACAGCAAAACCAAGTGGGACATCATAAAGCTGCTATGCAGAGGAGAGGAGGCAGCACTAACCTTGTGTGAAGTAATGGGCCTTGTACTTCCCAAGCCTGACAGCAAAGGGACCATGCAATGGATCAGGGGATGGCGGGTAGAAGAACATCGTCTGACGGGGACTCTGTAGGAAGCAGCAGAGTGAAGCTCACCCATCCAGCCATGAGGCTAAAGAGTCTGCAACAGGGCCAGGCAGAGACTCCAGGGATGCTACACAGAGCACAGATGCTGCACTGAACACATGGCCAGATGGGGGGGGGAGCTGACGAGCAGCAGCATCTGACTGCTCTGACTGCTCCCTACTCAGAGATACTGGGGCTCTGCCCATGCACTGCAGCCATGGACTGGGCTTGGCAACATGCTGCAGTTGTTAAAGCAGCCTGAAGAAGCTGCTTCCCAGGCCAGACCAGCCCTCAAGACTCACCTTCCCCGACCCAAACAGCACCGGGCTCAGGTCATAGCCATCCAGGGCAACTTTGGGAAGAGATGCTCCAGCCAGGGCAGTCAGTGTTGGCAGGATGTCCAGGGTGCTTGCCAGCTCATGCGTCACTCCTATCACTCACCATAGCCAGGCATAAGGAAACATTCAAGTACCTGATCCCACTCCCATCCCTGCATTCCCACTTCCCTTCCATCCTCTGCTTGTCCCGGGGCAGCCAAGCTGCTTCAGCTGGCATCAGCACTCAAAAGGGACAAGCAGTGCCAAGTCTCACCTGGAGTGATACGGCCTGGCCAATAAGCCACCGCTGGCTCCCGCATGCCACCTTCGTATGTTGTGCCCTTCCCACACTTCAGAAGGCCAGAGCTGCCTCCACGTGCCATCCGCAAGGTGGAAGGGCTGTGAGAGAGAAGAACCACCTACCATCAAGTTTCACAGGTCCACACTACCCCTTCCCTAGTACTGCTAAGAGGGTCATGACAAGAGAGACATGGTGTTAGCAAGTGACACTGCCATCCTTCTCAGCCTCAGGAGGCAGGAGGCATGGGGCAGGTGAAGAAGCCAAGGTGTGCAAGAGGCCTAAGCAGGGCACCAGAGACCAACTACACCCCCACACCAATGGAACTGGGTCTATTTGGGCTACTGGCCACTCCTGGCCTGAACCCTGTGAGGTTTCTGTCCACAAGGGGCACAGCTGAGTCACAAGAACAAGGAGCAGATCATGCACTGGGTCCTCTCCAGAGCAGGATCCACCTCTTGTCTCACTTCAGGTCATTGAGATCTCACCTGGCAATGCCATGTGCCCTTTCCCCAAGCAAACCAATGCCTCATGCCACTTCCCTCGCACCATGGATGCAGAATCTTACCAGTAACGAAGTCCCCCCAGCTGAGCCCACTCACCCATTGTCAGAGGTGAAAAACACCAAGGTTGTGTTTGCGAGGCCACTTTCCTGCAGTGCCTGTAGCAGCTGTCCCACTGAACCATCAAACTCTGCAAGTGCATCTCCAAATGGCCCACGCCTTGACTGCCCTGTGTACTCCTGGCTTGCAAACTGGGGGTAGTGGGTATGCTGGAGAAAGGGCAGAGAAGACCGCTACGAAAACTCCCAGAGCTGCTTCTTGTTCCCAGTTCACCCAGAGACGGTCAGCACCCCAGCTAGGACATGGAGATAGGTGACAATACCCATGAGGTGAAAGAAGGCTTGTCCCCAAGCTTCAGAAGCATCCCTCAGAAATGGCACAAAGGAGACGTGCAAACTTGGGGTGGGAAGTTTTCCTGGGTGAACACTTGGCCCAGGGAAGCAGGCAAAGCTCCAGAAAGAAGCAGCCCAAGAACATCATAAGCACGGTGCTGCCACAAGGCAAGGGCACATGAGCACCACCCCCAGGTCACCCAGCAGCAGGTACTGACTACTCAGCACAGTTCTGGGCTGCAGGAGCTGAGACACTCACTGCTCTCCATGGAGGATAAAGGGTCCCTTCCCCACCCCTGGACCCGCAACAGTGCTCCCCTCTCCTACGTGGGAGGCATAGTAGAGCAGGAAGGGGATGCCTTGTCGGGCGCAGTCAGCGATGAAGTTCCGTGAGAATTTGTTGTAGAGTGGCACCAGATCAGGGAAAGAGACCGGCTGCTGCACAATGCTCTGGTTCCAGAGGAGCGGGACTGGCACTACACCTTGGTCACAAGTCCCAAAACACTTGATGTCAGGTGGGAAGCAGGTTAGATTCTGGCAGGGGCCCTGGAGAGAACAAGTAACACCTTTTGGTTTACCTGTGTTGCAGGACAGGGAGGGGAGCACTCTCACAGCAGCCCACCACAAGGTCCTACAGGCACCCTTTGGGGAGCCTCTCCCAGAAAGCCAGGGCTCTGTGCCCACCCACCCATCCAAGGATCATACTGCCTCACCCCAATTTCTCATGGAAGCTCTGCAGATGTTTCTTTGTAGCCCAGAATCTGACCCTCTCTCCCCTGACAAAGGACAATGTCCCCATGCACAAGTACCCAACCACACGAGCACCTCAGAGATGGCCTTTCTCCATCAGCACCCATCTCCCTGGCCTGCAGCCACCCTCACCCATCTGCCCAGGAAAGCACTGGCCTGCCCCACATGCTCTCAAGCAGCTTCATCTGTGGGGCACTGCCCCCAGCCAGTTCCAGGACACCCCTCAGAGCTCGGCAGGCCTCTCACCTGGTCATGGGAGTAAGGGATCCCCAAGAAGTGGTCAAAGCCCTGGTGGACGGGCAGGAAGGAGCCATTCATCCCCAAGCCAAGGTGCCACTTGCCAACCATGGCTGTGGCATAGCCCGCAGCCTTCAGCACCTCTGCAATGGTGACCTCAGACAGCGGCAGCCCCCCCCGCGAGCCTGGGCTGAACACCCCCGGGTAGACCCCGGAGCGCATCTGGAACCGGCCTGTCAGCAGGGCTGCCCTAGGGGAGAGAAGACCGGATAGAGCACGGCACGGGTCCCTCTCCAAAGAGGGATCCCTATCCCCGCCTCGGGCCCTGGCAGCCCACAGCTGCCCCGGCCGCATATATCCGGTCTGCACCGGCCCCGCACCGAGCAGCCCCCAGGGCACAGCGACCTCCTCACCCCCCCACCCCGTTCCTCCCAGCACCGCAGCTCCCGGTGGGTGCCCAGCCCTGCCCCGACGCTTCCCGAGCTCGGTGCCCTCCCCGGGGCCCCGCAGCAGCCACCGGCCAGCGGGCTGGGAGCCGCGGGGCACGTACCGGGACGGGCTGCACACGGGGGAGCTGCTGTAGAAGTCGGTGAACCGCAGCCCTCGGGACGCCATCCAGTCCAGGTGCGGCGTGGCAGACGAGGGGTGCCCGTAGCTGCCCAGGTCCCCGAAGCCCAAATCGTCCGCCAGCACCAGGACGAAGTTGGGGGCGGCGGCGGCCGCTCCGCGCAAGGCCAAGAGGGCCAAAACCGCCACGGCCCGGGACAGCCGCAGGACCCACTGCCCCATTGCGCTGCCGCCAGAGAGGCCCCGCCGGTACCGGGCACCGACACCGCGCACCATGTGACCTAGCGCCGCCGCGGGGCGTGCTGGGAGCCGTTGTAAGTAGCGGGAAGCTGCGAGCGGCGGAGCCGGACCGGGACTGCCCCGGCGGGACACGGGTGGCAGCGAGCGGATGTCTCCTGCGCTGGGGCTGGGTGGCCCGGGGGAAAGGCCGCTGTCCCCCTTCCGTGGCTGGCAGCAGGTGCCGGCCCAGGCCGTTGCTCCGGGCTTCCTGCCTTCGGGAAGAGCCGAGGAAGCCGCTGTTCTGGTGCGCGCAGGGTGCAGGACCCACGGGACACTCAGAGGGTGCGGCGCTGCCGGGAGCAGGCTGCGCTCTGTGGGAGCCTGGGCGCTCTTCAAGCAAGTGTGTTTGCGTACAGCAACGGCAGTTTCGCCTTCAGCCTCAAAGACTGCTGCTTGTGCCTGAATATAGGAGCCCATATCGGGCAGATCTGTGACGTGTAAACAGAGCAGGGACAGTGCAAAGAGCAGCAGCAGCTCTCTGAGGGAAGGGAGTGATAAGGAGAACAAGGGAAAAAGGGGTAGGTTCAGCACCCGGGAAGGCTGCACCCGACTGCAGTGTCTGCTTTTGAAAACCAGAAAAAGCTCAAGAACAGGCAGAGAAGGGAACTGAGGCAGAATGTCCTGAAGGCCTCTGTCTGCACAGTTTATCCAGAAGAAGAGTACAGCAGGACCCGAGATGCTGCACAAAGCACAGGCACTTTGCTCTGTATCTCTGCATGTATGAAGTGTGGGCATGTGCTTATGCCTGTATGTGTGCGTGGACATGCATGCATGCATGCACATGTGAGTCTGCATGTGCATCTATAGGAGGTGCATTCTACGTGGCATACAGCACTTGGTATGCTGTCAGCATGCATGTGGGCAGACGGATGGGTGCATACTGTACGCAGGGTGTAGGGGTGGGTGCATTCTGCATGTATGTGTCCTGTACGGTGTGCATGCACTGCCTGTGTATGTGTGGGGGGGGGGGTGTGTGAGCCAGTTTTGCGCACACAGGCATTCTTTGTGTATGTGAACATTCTGCATTGCCCTTGTGCTCAAAACAGGTGTTTCAGAGTCTGGGTGTGCACACTCTGGTTGTGCACTGCACCTTCTCTTTGTACCCCATGTGTGTCTCTATGCACCCTGTGTGTGAATACAGGGTGTGCACACGGTTTTTGTGCATGCTGTGTTTGTGCTCCCAGGGAATTCCTCCTTGCAGAAGACCTGGAGCTGAACTGGGAGCACTCCCATTCTCAGGAGGTTTCTCCTGTCTCAACCCAATGATGTGAGTTGCTTAGTTGGGCTTCTAAAGAGCCAGATCACATTCAAGAACATGCACACATACTTCAAAGGCATGAACGGCAAACCAAAATAGCATAGAGCAGGACCTTTCCCAGAACCCACTTAACACAAAAAGCAGAACCCAGTACTCATCTTCCTCTCCAGCTGATCAGGACTGGAACATACACACAAATCACTCCCTAGATTCACAAGCACAGCATGTTCATAGGTTCCTTAAATATGAGCATGGGAATTCAGTTAATGTCTCTGGCTGGATGTCAAGCTACTTACCCAGCAGCTGGCACAGACCTTGGGTCTTTCCAGATCTATGTCTCCTCTTGCTTGTGACCTGGTCCAGCTTCAAGTTCGCTAGTGAACTGCACACACCCCCAGAGCACTCCCACCAGCAGCTGGCTGGTGATTCCAGCTGCTGGGTCCCTATGGCCTATGTTCCTTCTGCCATTGCTGCAGCCAGGTACAGGCTGGGGCTACTCAGAACAGCATCTGGAGTCACTCTCAAAAAGGTTGGACAGACCATGATTAGGTGCAAGGCTCAGTCAAACAAGCAAAACAATCAGCAGTTGCTTATCTGTAACTGGCTCCTTTATCCCTGTTTCTGTCCATTTTCCATGCTTATACATCCCCCCATCCTCCTTGACTCCTCTTTCTCCACCCTTTTCTTGTCCCAAACAAGTGATCTGCCCCTGGTTATTTTCCCCACCTTCCTCTGAGATTTGCTGCATTTGTGAACAGATTTGACGTTTGAGGTGCAGACAGCAAGGTCACCTTGGACTTCCATCACACTGCCTGGGTGGTGCTGTCCCTGTCAGATGCCTCTCCCTAAAATGCTCCCACCTCTCCCTTCAGTTATCTGTGAGGTGTCACTCAAATGGGCCTGCTCAGAGGAGGGTGAGGGTACAGTGGAAGAAGGGCACAGAGGTTACAGGGACAGCAGTTGGAAACACAACATGTCTTAGGCCAGCTACTGGTGGGATCCCTGTAGGTGTGTACAATGCACTGGTGAACTTGAAACTAGACTTGTGCAGCACAAGTATCCTGAACACACACATGGGAGCAGCAGCAGCCACATCCATCAGGCTGGGATAGGACAAGCCTCCTGGGTGTGATTCCACCTGATTCAGCTCTAGCAGACCTGAAAGGAGAAGGTGTGCTGGAAGCCTACTGGATCTGGCTGCTCCGTAACAGAATGGGGAAGAAAACCCAAAGAAATTATACCAGAGCTCACACACATGGACAGAGGCAGTGCTGGTTGGGAAAAGCAATGGGGAGGGCTGGCAGTTGGGATTTAATACTGTACAGTAACTGGACTACTGCTTTAGAACAGAAGTGCAGGAAGGATGTAGGCTCAAAGTTTTATATATATATATAAAATACAAATAGTTTTTAGTGTTTGTTTTCTCCAATAGGTACCATTAAAGCTTCCAGACAGGTCCCTTCCCTGTAGGTCCCAGAGTGGCTGAACTCTCCAGGCAAGCTTTGCCTTGAAGAAGCAAGCAGTAACCAGCAGCCTTGTGGATATTCTCACCCTCTCCTTGACAATGATACGCAGCAGCTCAGGCCACATCAAGAAAAGTCATGGCTAGAGAATCTCCCACAAGAGTGGGAGAACCCCAGCTGAGCTCTCAGGGCAAGAGAAAAATCACTTTCCTTTATGAAGGCCAGCTTTAATTAGCCCCAGAAATCTAGAACAAAGGGAAACTCAGACTCAGGGTCCAGGGCTTAGGCAGATGGGGGATTCTCTTCAGGGCAGCTCTCCTCTTGATCCAACAAATTCTCACTTTTCTGCAGGTCAAAGCTCTGGAAAGGAGCAGGACAAGGAACTGCTGAGAAGCATGAGAGCCACAGCTATACTGTGCTGTGATTCTTTCAAATTTGGTCTAGGGTAGTGCAGGCTCTTCAGAGGATCATCACCTCACCCCTTCCAACCTAGACATGAGCAGCACACAAACCCCATAGTGTCACTACTATAAGGCAAATCTTCCCATGCGTACAAGGTTTTGGCCTACAGCTGCTCTTAGGAGGAGGGCAGTAAGTAGAGCCTTTCTTACCTCCAGTTCTCGCATGACCTCGTCCATGAAATCTCCTGAATTCTGTTTGTAAGCAACTGCCAGTTTGATGGCATCATTGAAGAGCTGACGAGGAGGAGAATACTTGTCACTCAAAGTGAAGGGGCACTGGGTTTCTGTAACATACAGAAACTGTTCCCACATCTCAAGAAAAACAAAACCGAAACTCTGCAAGTACATATAGCTACCAGACCTCATAAATAGGCAAACATGTACCAGCCCATTTCCTGCTCTCTGTGCCTACAGCAGTCTCCATGTTCTTGGACCACACAGAGGTCTCATGTATGCTGAGTCAAATATCTGTGTCCTACCTTCACTACATTGGTGCCATCTGCAGCAGACACAAAGTAAAAGGGCAAACTGAACTTCCGGGGAAAATTGAAGCTTTTCTGGGTCACCTTCATATCCGCTGGGGACAAGAAAAGGAGAAATGGTCAGCAAGATATCACTGCAGGCAGAATGTCAACATGTGCAGGAGTGGTGGAACAGATGTGATCACAGCCCAGCTGAGCAGTCAAGGCCCCCTCACTGTAGTACAAGGCTAGGAGAGTCCTCCCCAACAGCTTCAGGGCTTTAAAAGCAACAGCATCAGCAAACCATTGATGAGAGACACTAAGAGTTCTTGTTGATTATCCATGGTGTTTCACTAAATTATAGATGGATTCTGATGTGCTATAAATGAACAAGGGCTTAGAAAATACCCACTCCCTTCCCCTGCAGCAACTATGAATGTTTCCCATGCACATCCCTGTTATTTTAGCTGTGTCCATATGACCTGGACACCATCACTGTTACAAGTAATGCCTCTCCCTTCAGTCTGGCCTATTAGCCAGAACTCCTCCCTGCCTTTATGGCATGTACCTATACTCCTGTGTGTCCAGGGCATGCTCACAGTATATAAATGACCCTACTGTTACATATTTTTACTTAACATGCAGTTAGGTCCAGCTGTCCCAACCTCAGTAGGCCAGAGGCTTTATTTCAGGTTTGGAACAACTCTACTGCATAATTAGATGCCGTGCTGGCAGAGCAGGAGCAGCTCAGTTGTGATTGATAGGCAGCCTGTATGCTGCACAGGGGAACGATCTGCCTTGTCTCACAGAGCAGCAGCTGAATTAGTTCAGACTCTAAGTGCTGCCCATGAGCAGTGCCTCGGCAGCCGCTCCCGGCCTCTCTGCAGGAAGCTGGATCAACTGTTCTGCATACTGGGCCTGTGTTAAGAGCTGTGAGCTGATCATTTCCTAGTCCAGGTGCAATACAGCAAAGGAAGGCACGGCAAAGGACTCCTCTGGAATAGTGTGCGCTCACACACAGAGCACCATGATCAGGATTCATCTACACAGAGGTTCTGCCTACAATATGCCTGTCAACACCAAGTCCATTTGCCTTGGACTTCCTCTACAGTCCATGCAACCAGTGGATTCAAGGCTGGCTTGACACATCCTATAGGAAAGGCTTTCATTAGGTAAGCTCAATCATGCCCTAAGCCACACCACTGAACCAAATGAACTGCTGTAGACTGCATTGGAAGCCCGGACACCTTATTGAGGTGGACACAACTATTCATAGCTGTGATGATTTCTACCACGAATGTCAGCAAGGAAGCCCACGTCTGACACTGTATTTGACAGAGAACAGCAGGAGACTGTGGTCCTAAGGGTATGTGTTCTCTTGTTGATGCTGAGGAGAAAGCTGATGGCGTTATGCACTCTCACAGGATGGAGGAGACAAGTCACAACCCAAGTGACAGCACTAATGTGTGGAATGCCTAGCCGGCATTCCTAAGAAGAGGGAGGCATCTAGTCAATGGCAGAGGAAGGTAAACAATTTTGCCATCAGGTATATTATAGACACTTCAGCACAGAGTTCCACAGAAACCTGCAGCCTGAATTAGCAATATAAGGGCAGTTACTGACTGTGCCAGGGGATGCCACGTAATAGGTTATGCTCCTCTTCCAGCAAGACATCCTGCAATTTTTGACTAGGTACTGCTCCAACCAGCTTTTGGTTTCTTGCTGGATGCAAAGGGCAGTGTGGTAAGGACAGAATTGGAAGGACAACACTTGAATAAACTTTAAATGGATCAAATTGTATTTTCAAGTGCCTGTAAGACTGCATCAAGGTCAGCAGAGGGCCCAGCTATTCACTGGTAAAATACAGCCCTGAGGGACTAATACTCAAGAACTCATCTGGACCTAACAGATGAACGACATTCTCAGCCTGATTCTCTGAAGAGAATCACATCACAATCCTGAGAGGCTGAAAGAAGATCTACTCACCATCAATTTTGTTGGCCACCACAATGCACGGAATCTCTGAACGGAATTCCCTCAGCTCCTTGTACCAGCTGTTCAAGTTCTTGTAAGTGACTTTCCGCTGCACATCAAACACCTTCCAAGAAAGAACCAGCTATGATGTGCCATAGCAGGAGAGCTCCTGATCGACCACCAAATAGAGAATCCAGAATTCTCCGAGGAGGACATCAATAAAGGAAACTGGTGTTTGTTAGAAAGTGTGAAAGACAAGGGAGAGTATCCAGAAAGCCTTGAAACATGCAGCCAGCCCACTTCTTTGCATGAGGCAGGGAACAGTCCCTCATTTTCCTTTACAATCTTATTTTGTACTATGACAAATACTGTATCACTTATGACAAGTCAACAAGTGTAGGAAAGATCTGCTCTAAGTAGGGTCAGAAGTAAGACCTCTCCAGTTTAACAATTAAAATACCAATGAAGTTGACTAATGCTCACAAGTGATAAGAAAGAATGGAAAGGTTGAGCAACAGTACAAAGCAAGAGACCTCAGGGGGTTAGAAGTCAGGAAAAAAGACTTATTTGAGCTAATAAACGGGAAGAGCAAATTACAGGAAAACAGAAAGGGCAGAAGACCAGAGAAGAATGTCTTATGTAGCACCCCTGTGGAACATGTCAGAACAGTTTTGTACTACATAATCCAATAGTCAAATAACAGAACAAGAAAGGAATGCTTACAAAAGTAAGGAAATTTAGAAGACAGCAAAGCCAGGGAATATAGTAAGAGTGCTATGAGGAAAGACAGAATAGAGCTAAACATACCCAAGTACACTGCTTTTATCTGGTGAGAGAAGAAAGAACAATATAGGAAAGTTTTTTAAACCACTGGAAGAGATAAATCTAAAGCAGCATTGTCACAAGTAACACACAGGCCGCGTGTCAGCTGGTACTGCATTAGTCAAAACTCCACCAAATCACAGCTGAGACACTGCCCTTACCAGGATACAAGCATGAGCGTTATGGTAATAAGATGCATGCATGCTCTGGAACCTCTCCTGTCCAGCTGTGTCCCAGAAGTCTGTAAGACACAAAAAACAAACTTAGAATGACACATCTTTTCAAGTTCTGTTTTCCTTAGAACTTAAACCCAGGAGACAAAGCCCAGTCCATCTACTCAGGGTCACAGATGGTGGTTTCACCTCACTAATCTGAAACATTCCAGGGCTAAGAGATTATGCAGAACTACAACCTTTTCTTAGCTACGCTTAACTATGAGTTGTGCTGACACTGAACATGGCTATAAACATATCAGCAAAAGAGAAGTCATCAGTAGATATGACTTGTAAAGAACAGAAAGACAAAGCTAGTCAAAAGTGCAGAGTGGTAACAATGCATAGTGCTTTGTCACTAGAGATGACAACAGGAAACAAAACTTGAACCTCTTGTAACTGGCTTGATTTCTGACACCTTGGTATACAGCCAGGTGCCTGCCCTAGGTAATATTCTCCCTGCTTTCACAGACAGTCCAACTCTACTTTTCCCAGGGGCAAAACTCATTCTAAAATTACTAAGGGCCCAGGGCCCAGTTCAGGGTCCCAAGGGAGGAGACAGGCAGATCCCAATTCATTAAGTACCTCGTAGACTGGGTATCATAACGCATACCTGAACAGTCAGCAACATTCTAATGCCCTTTTCTGTCTGTGTGTCTAGGTAGGGCTCCTCCCCACCCCAATCCTTTTAATGTCCCATTTCAGAATCCTCACTTAGAAGGACAAAAGAGGTGCCAGTGATCATGACCTACTGAATGCCCCTAAATTAAGTTCCCAGGCAATGCAGCAGCTGTCCCAAGAGAACTTGCCATGCCTTACTGAAAAACACTGCTGCTTTTATTACCAAATCCTCCAGATTTGTCTGTCATACCCCATGTCACTCCAGAACCTTAAAATCCTTGGGAAAAGTAAGATTCATAAATATGAATACAGCACATTTTAATGCAATCCTAACTCTACCATGCGGAATTTGGCGATGGCCTCAGCTCAGCAGAGTAAAAATTAAACCAGCAAGGGAAGTGGTAATTCTGTACAGTCTGAGTCTTCAGATCACATTATCTGCCTTTACAAACCACACTTCATGAGAGGTCTTCTCTGCAAAGTAGCTTGGATGATCAGCCTTATGTTCATAAATGGTGCAGAAGACACTGTGAACACTTGCAAAACATTAGCCACACGAATTACTTAAACTAGACCAAGTTACTTCATAAAGTACTAAATCCATGTTAAAAATAAGTCCCTGACTTTTGCAAGTTGTCCTAACTGTATTTCACTTAACAGTTAAAAAAGCTCCCCACCTCATCTTTTATATGAGTGTACCTAACATCAGAGTCTGTTAAATATTTCTTGTTACGCTGAAACCTCCTTTTGTACAAAGTTCCTGTTCTCTAATATTTTACCTTCCCCCTGAGAAGCCAGAGTTCCTCATCATTAGGCCACTTTTTACCATCTTTCAAGTGTTCTCATGGCTTTTCTCTGAAACCTTTTATTAGGTGTAAATGGCAAGGTTTGTGTAAGGGGCAGGGGATGCTGGGATGGCTTCTGTGAGAAGACACTGAAGCTCACCCCATGCCAGGCTGAGCCGGTTTCAGTCAGCTCCAAGACAGACAGACCCCCTCTGGCCAAATCACTCCCAGTCAGCAATGCTGGTGATAACATATTTAAGGAGTCAAAAATGCTGCAGAGGAGAGTGAGGGAATGAAAGAGAACCAGCTCTGCAGGCACCAAGCTCAGAAGAAGGAGGGAGACAAGATCATAGAATCACAGAATCACAGACTGGTTTGGGTTGGAAGGGACCTTAAAGCTCCTCCAGTTCCAACCCCCTGTCACAGGCAGGGACATCTTCCACTAGAGCAGCTTGCTCCAAGCCCTGTCCAACCTGGTCTTGAACGCTGCCAGGGATGGGGAAGCCACAGCTTCTCTAGGCACCCTGTGCCAGTGGTTCCCCAGTGTAACCACCCTCAGCATGAAACATTTCTTCCTCATGTCCAATTTACACCTACCCACTTTCAGTTTAAAACTGTTGTGCCTTGCTCTGCCACTACAGGCCCTGATAAAAAGGTTTTCTTCATCTTTCTTATAAACCCCCTTTATATACTGAAAGGCCACAATAAGGCCTTCCTGGAGCCTTCTCTTCTCCAGGCTGAACAACCCCAATTTCTCAGCCTCTCGGCATAGTAGTGGTGCTCCGTCCCTGCGATAGTTTTTGTGAACCTGTTCTAATAGATCCATGTTTATCTTGTACTGGGGATCCCACAGGTGGATGCAGGACTCCTGGTGGGGGCTCTAGCAGAGCAGAGCAGAACTGCCTCCTTCAACCTGCTGGTCATACTATTCTCATGCAGCCCAAGTCAATTTGCTTTCCGGGCTGCAGTTGCACATTGCTGGCCTGTGTCCAGTTTTTCATTCACCAGCAAAGGGGAAAGGTGCACTGCTCAAACATGTAGAAAGCTGGCAAAAACAGGAAGGGGGAAAAAAATTGTTCAGTATCCAGGAAACACAGGAAATAAATGGTTCACCTTGAACAAGGAAGATTTGCATTAAGTATCAAGAAAGAATTTCTAGCAGTAAGAACCCTAATAGGCTGGAGTAGATGGCCTAAGCAGGCTTTGTCACTGGAAGTCTTTGAATATGTGTTTTATAAATATTTATCTATTTATATCTCTATATATAAATATACAGATATGACCTGATACATATATATATATATATGACCTTATGGGGTGACCCTATGATAGATACGTATCAGTGAAAAGCATCATTAAGTAAAGAGTTTCTCCTGTGTGGAGATGTGCAAGATGTCCTCTCACAGTCCCTTCCAAAAGCTGTAATACTCTGGAAACACAATGATTGCAGTGACAGACGCAGCACTACAGAATATCCACTCAAACCACGGAATAAGATCATGCTTTTCTTGAGCTTCCATCTGTAACACACAGTGAACAGCACTGTGCTATGAGGCTACATCTCACAGGTTAAAACAATGCTTCTTTGGCATAAAAAATAGAAAGTTCACACTTGTGATAAACCTGACGTTATGGGACAGTTGAGAGTGTGGCTGATAAAGAGATGCCTGATAAAGCCACGCTGCTTGTATTCTACCAAAAAAAAAACCTAACAAAGCTAGAGATAAAACAGGTGGGATTTTATGATAAGATCTGACAGGCTGGACATATCCAGCAAAAAAATTTAAATTCTATAAACTTGAAGTACAGCAATTGGTACATACACCAGAAGTAATGAACCAAGTGAGAATACCCAAGAAAAGGATAACCAGTGATAGGAAGATTGTATTAAAATATATTAAAACCTCAGCAACTAAAATAGCAGATCTACTGGAGTAATGCATGGCATGGGTTTTAGAATTGATGTCGACAGGCAGCTAAATCCCACTGCAGACTCTGTTGTTATAAGCATGTGGAATATTTCTTCTCATTTATTTACTATATTGACAGAGTAGATGAGTCTGAAGACAGCTTCGTACTGCAGCTAAAGTGATTAATATCCAGCTTGCAAGCCAGAGCAAGCCCCCTCTGTGCTCTTCCTTACTTTGCCAGTGCTTCCCCACCTGCCCCTTCCACTAGCACAGGTGTGTATAAGCCCCCATACAGAGATGCTTTAGGAAGCCAAATGAGAAGAAATCCATTCCCTTCTTTTGTGAGTGGTTAATACGCACGGTATACTTTCTGGACTGGCCTGACAGTGGACAGGACTAGGCTATAAGTGAACACTGGTGGTACATAAGGGAACAGGACTACAACATTCCTGGGCAGCTAGCTTAGCTTCGTGGTAAATCTGAAATGTCACTTAGCTCAGTTTCATCATAACACTGCATCCTGAGCAGCAGGCACTCACTGAACAGTGACTAACACAGTTAAATCAGGATTCTTGCAGCAATTGCTTTGACAGGTATTCAACTCCTTGAAAAAAACAGAGCTGATCCTTCACTCAGAGATCCCCTTGCATGGGGATTAGTGGCATAGCTGAAGAACCTATTAACTGAACAGTGATCTGGCATGGTAGATGAGCGAAGAGTAGTGGCTGTTCTTAGACTTCAGTGAGGCTTTTGGCACCGTCTCCCATAGGAGACTCATAGAGAAAATGTTGATGCAGGGGCTGGATGAGCAGATGGTGAGGTGGCCTGAAAACTGGCTGAATGTCCAGCAAGAGGCTGGTGATCAGCAGCTGAGTCTGCCTGGAAGCCAGTAACTTAGCAGTGTACCCCAGGGGTCAATACTGGATCTGATCCTGTTCAACATCTTCATTAATGATCTGGATGATAGGGTGTCCTGGGTTCAGAGAGAGCAGGGGGAGGGCAAGAAAGGGGGGGAAGTGAGCGAACGAATTACCTGACTGGGTTTAAACCACGACATAGGGCAAGACTGCACCCTCGGCAAGCTTGGAGATGGCACAAAACTGGGAGAAGTTGCTGGTACACAAGAAGGTTCTGCTGCCATCCAGAGGGACCTGGATAGGCTGGAGAAACAGGCTGATAGGAACCTTATGAAGTTTAACAAGTAGAAGTACATAGAAACAAACCCATAGCACCAGTTTCGGCTGGGCACCATCCAGCTGGGAAGCAGCTTTGCAAAGAAAGGGCCCTGGGGGTCCTGGCTGACACCAAGCTGTGCCCTTGCCGCAAAGCAAGCTATTGGCATCTGTCGTGGTTTAAACCCAGTCAGGTAACTTGTTCACTCACTCCCAGTGAGTGGTGCCGAGCTGACAACAATCGAGGTCCTTGTCCGTCTCCCCCCCCCCCAGCACCGGGGCTCTCCCCTTCCCCGCTCCCGGAGGAACGGGGAGGAGGATCGAGAGAGTGCAACTCCTACGGGTTGAGACAAGAACAGTCCAGCAACAAATCACCACCGCTACTATCAGCTAAAACAATGATAAGGGAAAATAACAAGGGAAGAGAATACGATACCACCGGCCAAGAAAGCGAGTTCCACCCGGAAGCCCCTGTCCTTCCGGGTAACTCCCAGTTACCCCCCCCACCCCGGGCATGACGTGCTGTGGTATGGAATACCTCCCCGGCTAGCCCGGGTCAGGCGCCCCGTCTCTGCTTCCTCACAACTTCCCCTCCTCCCTGGCAGAGCATGAGCCTCACAGAGTCCTTGGTCAGGGTAAACATCACTTAGCAACAACCGAAAACATCGGCTTCACCAACACTGTTCTCAAGCTAGAAGTCAAAACACAGCACTGCACCAGTTAACACAAAGGAAAAACATGACTGCTACTGCTGAACCCAGGACAGCATCCTTAACTGCATTAGGCAAAATATTCCTTTGCCTCTACTCTGCACTGGAGAGGCCACACCTGCAGGACTGTGTCCAGTTCTGAGCTCCTGAGTACAGGAGAGACATGGACATGAAGATGATGGACTGGAGCACCTCTTATGAGGAAAGGCAGAGAGGGTCGGAATTCTTTACCCTGGTGAAGAGAAGGCTCAGGGGGATCTCATCAATGAGTATAAATACCTGAAGGAAGAGAGTAAAGAAGATGGAGTTAGGCTTTTTCAGTGGTGTGCAATGACATGCGCAGAGGGGGCAAACTGAAACACAGTTTTCCTCTGAGCATCAGGAAACACTTTCCATTGTGAAGGTGGCTGGACACAGGCCCAGGAAGGTTGCAGAGTCTCCATCCTTGGAGACATTCAGAAGCCACCCAGACATGGTCCTGGGCAACTGGCTGCAGGTGGCCCTGCTTCAGCAGGGGTTGGACAGGAGCTTCAGAGCCCCCTTCTGATCACCCCCATTCTGTGATCCTCTGATCCCTCCATCCCCCATTTCCCTGCCTACAAACAGCTCTTTGACACCCCACTGCCCAGTGCAGGAAACTGCCGCGGTCTGGGGTCCGTGCGCTGCTGCCTCTGCCCACAGCACCGCCGCCGTGCCCGCTCTGCACGCAGCCGGCACAGCCCGTCCCCGTTCCCGTGCCCGTCCCTGTGCCCGTGCCCGTGCCCGTGCCCGTGCCCCGCGCAACACCCAGCGGCGCGCTCTCCACTTACCCACGAGGACCGCCCGCCCGTCCACCCGGGCGCGGTGCTTGTAGAGCGTCAGGGCGAAGGTGGAGAGCTGCTGGGAGCAGCTGCGTCCGCGTTAAGGAACCGACGGAGGAGGGCGGCCCCCCGCGCCGCAGCGACCGCTCCCCCGGCCGGGCCCGCCGCTCTTCCCCAGGCCCCCGCCGCGCAGGGCGGTCAGCAAGGGGCAGCACAAGGATACAAGCTGTGGAGCAGGAACCTCTCCAGCAGCCTGCGGAAAGAGTAGGGCGCTGCCGTTAGGCCGGGGGACCTCCCCGAGCCGCCCCTGCCCTACCCGCGGGGAACGCACGCACTTGGACTTGCCCACGGCGCTGTCGCCCAGGCAGATGATCTTCACGGTCTCCTCCGCGCCGGCCGCCGCCTCGGCCCGGGCCTGCTCCGCCGCCTCCGCCATGGCCCCGCCTCCGCGTCCCCGCTGCTACGCGATGTGTGGGACCGGGACCAGCCTCAGGCCCCGCATCACGGAGCGCGACGTTCCGCTGATGTCACAGGCGCGCCGGGGGCCATGGCGGCGGCGAGGCCGTGTGGGCGGCCGCTGCAGCTCACGCTGGCTCTGCTGAAGCCGGACGCCGTGGCCCACCCGCTGGTGCTGGAGGTGAGCGCTGGGCGCCCCGCATCGTCCCGCACAGCCTCGTCTTTCCCCTCACTGTCCCGCACCAGTCCTCTTCGTCCTGCTCTCGCCCCGCTTCGTCCCTCCCCGCATCATCCCGCACCGCCCCGCTTCGTCCCTCCCCTCATCGTCCCGCACCAGTCCTCTTCGTCCCGCCCCGCATGGTCCCGCACAGCCCCGCTTCCTCCCGCTCCGCCCCGAGACACCGGGCCAGGCCGTGCGGTGCGGAGCGTCCCGGCGGTGGCCGCCGCCCGCCCAGCCGCTGCGCCTCTGCCCGCAGGCCGTGCACGAAACCATCCTCAGCAATCGGTTCCTCATAGTGCGCGCCAAGAAGCTGCGGTGCGGGCGGGAGGAGAGCCGCCGGTTCTACCGGGAGCACGCGGGTAGGCGGCACGGGGCGGGGGGGGGACGAGCGTGTCCGGGGCCGGCGGCGCTGCGCGGTTTGACCCGCCCGTCTTTCTCCCGCAGGGCGGTTCTTCTACCAGCGGCTGGTGGAGTTCATGGCCAGGTACCTGCCGTGCCCGCAGTCGGTCCCTGCGGGGCGCCAGGAGGGCGCTCCCTTCACTTCACAGAGGACCCTTGTCCCGCCTTTGGGTGGAGGGGCCACTTTGGTGTGGGACGTGTCTCACCCAAGGTGGAAGGCCCTGGGCTCAGGGGTGGAGAAGTGCCAGGAGATAACCCTGCTGTGACTATAGTAGGACTTAGTGGGGTGGCAGCCCCAAGGGTGGTGGGTGCCATCACCTAGGAGGAGGGCATTCACACAAATGCTTTGCTCTGAGCCACAGACTCAGGGTCTATGCCATGGTAGGGCTGTGTGGCCTCCCAAAAGCACTGGAAGACAGTTGCACTTCCTTGTTTGCACTTGCTGTATCTATAAGAATGAAGCTGTGCCCTTTTGCAGCCTTATCTGCTTCTCCTCTTCCTTGGTCTTTTTCTCAGTGGCCCCATGTGGGCTTACATCTTGGCCCATGAGAACGCTGTCCCTCTCTGGAGATCCCTGATGGGACCCACCAAAGTATTCCGAGCCCGAAACAGCGTCCCAGACTCCATTCGAGGAGCTTATGGCCTCACTGACACCAGGAATACCACTCATGGCTCAGGTAGACCCATCCTTCTTTGTTGAGTATTGGGCAAAGGCTGGAGCTCGGGAAGGTGTGAGCACTGGTGTTTTGCTTGCTTTCCAGTCTAGAAGTCACAGTTAGTGATTTACTCACTTCTGCAGACTCCGCTCACCCCTGTCCTGGTGTGACTTGAGCCTGGTGCTTTTCTTGTGGCTTTTGCCCTTCCCTTTGGAATGTAGCACGTTTGTAGTGTCACACTGCCATCACTCACCTTCTCCTCTGTTTTCCAACAGATTCACCAGCATCAGCCAGCAGAGAAATTGCCTTTTTCTTCCCAGAGTTCGATGAGCAGCTCTGGTACCAGCAGGAAGAGCCACGTCTGCGCCAAGGGCAGGTGTATTACAATGCAGAGGAGCGTGTCCACTGTGTTCAGGGATGAAGAGACAAGAGTTGACATGAGTTACCCGGGGGTATGCTTTGCTGAGCTGGGAGTAGCTGCTAGACACACTGTGTCAGCCTCATAACAAGACATAGAGCTATGGCATGTTTTAAGGAGCGTGGGGGAGAGAAAGACCTAATGCACATCATGTTGTGTGACCTGGAGTTAACGTTGTTCATGCAGCGTCCAGGCACTGGGGCAGTTTAGGGAAAAACTTCTCAAGTAGCAGTACTCCATCTGGATGTAGAGATCTAGCCATGGAGTTCACTGGTCCCTGGTGTTTTATTTAGACATAAGCGGTACAGGTGAGTCCAGCAACAGGGTAGGTGAAAGGGGGTTGCTAGTTCCAGTTAGGATATGGTTTGTTTTGCTGATGGTAGTCCTGAGAGTCTTAATATTTGCTCTGTTCCCAGAGTCCCATAAGGAGAAAAGAGAGGGAAAAAATTATGAAAAAAGGCCTCAATAAGCAGGGTAATACTAACTCTCCTGTCCTTGCTTTCCTGGATCCAAGCTGAAAACAAGGTTCTCTTCAGTTTTGTATCATAATTCTGATCTTGAGCTTCTGGTGGAGGGGCACAGTTAGAAGCCGTTCCCAAGAGGAAAGCAGCGTATCCCATTTGGTTGATTTGGGCTGGGCTGACAAGTCTGCAGCACGAGTTCTAGGGGAAGATGCAGAAAGGTGTGGAATACTCCAGTGACTCTGAAGGATCTTCTGTTTGTGCTTTTTAGATTGCCTGGGGGATGAGATCTGCAGTTCTGATGAGACTTGATAGTGGCCATTAGAGCTATGGATTTCTCAAATCCATAATAAAAGGCCAGAGAAGCTGATTTGAATGCTGGTACAAAGGGGCTGTAGAATTTCTGCCGGGCATTGAAGTACTGAGTTGCATGTCCTTTGTAAATTATATGGACAAAGTAATTTCGTTATGCAGTAATTGATATAATATCCTGGTGTGTGAGGACTTGGTTTTGAGGTACAAAGCAAGGTTCTGATATGCTTATTTATGTTTCCCTGTTTGATGCATTTTGAGCTCTGTTCCTGTACCAGTTTTTAATCCGTTTAAACTGCCCCAGATTGCAGTTACAATGCTAATATTTTTAATTAAGGTGCCATGTTGTACTGAGTGGATTTCTTTCAGCTAATTTCAAATGCACTGTATTGGTGAAGGTACCGTTGTACTGCGTTTGGGACAAGAAGTTTGTTAGTGATTCCCTCTTCTGAAGTTATGCATGACTAGCACTGAGGATACCTTTCCCTACAGTTCTTGACTAGATTGTTGACTGAGTCGCAAATTCATTAGTGCATCATTATAGTACAGATCAAAGGGAAGTTGCTGTGGCTAGTTTAAGACAACTATGTGAAATGCTGGGCATTTGATTGAAAAATGTGTAATTGTAAGAAATGCTCATGTAGAGTTTCCTTGACCAAATGCATCAACATGTTTGTTCCTTCATTACCATTATATGAGATTAAATGCAGTCATTGTTTTGTTCCAGGTACAGATCAAAAGGATCTGCGGAATATTTCTGCATTTTTGCATTGCTGTTTTATTTTCACCAGCAGTATCCAAAGGTGGATCTGCTTATGACTGAGTTTGTGTTTATACAGCTCTGGAATCTTGCTGTCCATAATGCTACTGTCAGTTGATATTTTATTGATTCCCTCAGTGTCTGTCAGTTTTGTGGGGTTTTCATGTGATTAGTAACCCTTACGATTTTATTTTCATCTTTCTTCTTTATTTATATTGTGCTTTCTTTTTTTGGCTATTCATTTGGGGTGCCATTAAATGACAATTCCTGGCTTACACTTCTTGTTTGCAATGTGTTAATGTTCCTAGTCATTTGACATTATTACATTTGGAGAAACCAATCCTTTTAAAATTTCAAGTACAAACAGCACTGGCTTAGTGGTGCAGTGTTTTCACAGAGTGATTATCAGGTGACCGGCACCATTCCTTAGGTTACTGCCAGTTGTTATGTCCATATTAACATTTCTTTGGTCCACCAAGACTGCACCTGAGAAGAGGTTGTCGGAACTGTGCAGTGCCATTGCCCTACATAGAGCATTTGTTTTGTAAATCTAAAGATGTTCTGTGAAGTCTGTCAGGAGATCTAATATAAGGAAGAAGTTGTTCTCTGTGAGGGTGCTGAGGCGCTGGCACAGGGTGCCCAGAGAAGCTGTGGCTGCCCCATCCCTGGCAGTGTTCAAGGCCAGGTTGGACACAGGGGCTTGGAGCACTGTGCTCTAGTGGAAGGTGTCCCTGCCTGTGGCAGGGAGTTGGAGCTGGATGAGCTTTAAGGTCCCTTCCAACCCAGATCCTCCCATGATTCTGATAATACTGAAATATTTGGTGTTAGATGGAGGAGATAGTGTCAAAATAATGCTTTTAATATCAAAGGAAGCCTTTGGATTTTAGCAGAAGCTCTGCTTTGAGGCCTCTTGGGAAAGTCTTTCTTTTATTGTTTTTTTTTCCTCTCTTTGTAAGTGCTGAAGATATGTTTCACTTCTTTAGTGTGTCATAGCACTGTACCAGCTACTAGGAAGAAAAATAACTGTTAGAGCTGAAACCAGTTCATAATGACAATTCATGTGTGTTCTGTGTACCTCCTTGTGCCTCCCAGTCCTGTGCTGTACACTTGAATTTGTAACTTCCCATGGCTTTAATTTAAAACAATTTCTTGTACCCTTTCTCACTTTTCTTCCTGCCCCTTCCCTGTCCCTAATCTGCTTTTACAGAACAAGTTGAAACCTCTGATTATTTTTAATAAATCCTGGTAATGCCCAGCACAGGCTATTTCTTCTCTTTTGTAAAGATTTTTGGTTTCTTTATTTGACTTGCAAACATTATGTTGTGAAATAATAAAGGCAAGCTATCTAAATGCTGGTTTAGCTTAAATATGTAATATCTGATGCTGCAAAAATCTCATGTACAGTCAACATTTGTATTTTGGTTGTTGTCCTCTTCTTACTAATGCTTAAATGCCTTCTGCCTGTTTGCACAGAAGCGTGGTACCTGAATTAGACTGAAGGCTGCTGAACCAGAGTTTCTGCTTTCCAAAGGAAGTGCTCCCCCCGTATTTCACAGAAACAATACCTACCTGACACGGCCGTAGTATACATCTATAGTGTAGCTACACTGCCTCAGAGTAGAGAGGAAATCTGGGCAAGAGGGCACAATCATTATTACAAATGACTGTGGAACTTCAGCTTTGTATTTGCTGAAGTTTTCCATAAAGTTTACTGTCATTCAGGTTAAATTATTTACCTTTTTCTCCTTTTAGTACTTCAACAA